TGCACTCCAGTCTGGGTGACAGAGTGAGACTCCAACTCAAAAAAAAAAAAAAAAAAGAATGAGAAGGGCAGTAATTAAGGTAGTGCTATGCTGGCATAAGGATAGACCTACAAAGGGCCCCCCCAAAAAAACAGAGTTACAGTACACTTGAAATTTGTTCCTCCAGATCAAACGGTCAACCAGTTTTTATCTGGAAATTTTGAGAAGGCTGTGTGACGATTTGCAGAAGAAAAGCCTAGAGTTATGGCAAACAGGTGACTGGTTCTTCCACCATGACAACACACCTTCCCACATCGTGCTGAGTGCTCAGCAGTTCTGACCAAAAAACAACATGACCCCCATGGCTCCACCCTCACTATTCACTCAGTCTCGTCCTGAGCAACTTTTTTTGTTTCCCCTGGATGAAAAAAGTCCTCAAAGGGCAATGTTTTGCCAGTGTGGAAGAGGTGAAACAGACAGTGGCAGGAGCACTAAAAGGCATCAAAATCAACGATTTCAAAAACTGTTTTGAGCAGTTTCCTCTGCTCTCAGTAGGTATATTACATCACACAAAGTTGTTTGATGGTGACTGAAGTTTAAACATGTAAGAATAAATACACAATTTTTAAAATAAATAAATTCCAGTTCTTTTTGGGTCTCCCTCATGTAGATCACTGGGATAGAATTGAGAGTCCAGCAATAAACCCTCAACTTTATGGCTGCTTCAACATTAACAAGAGGCTAAGTTCAATGGGAAAAGAATGTTCTTCAGCAAATGGTGCTGAGACAGCTGAAAACCCACAAGCCAAAGAATGAGGTTGGGCCCTTTCCTCCACTCCATTCAAAAGTGAACTCCAAACAATCACAGACCTAAATATGAGAACTGAAACTATAAAACTCTTGAAATAAAACATAGGCGCAAATATTTGTGGCCTTGGATTAGGCAGTAGTTTCTTAGATAAGACATCAAATACACAAGCAACAAAAGAAATAAATACATTGGATTTTATCAAAATTGAAAACTTTTGTGCTGTTAACAGTGCCATCAAGAAGTTGAGAAGGCAACTGAGAAAATGAGAAAAAATAATTGCAAATAGTATATGATAAGGAACTTGTATACAGAATATATAAAGAAATCCTACAACTCAATGATAAAAAGAAATAATTCAGTTTAAAAATGGGCAGCTATGCATCAAAGGACACAGTCAACAGAAAAAAGGCAGCAGTTGGAATGGGAGAAAATACTTGCAAATCATACAGGGATGCCAAAAAATGTATACACATTTACAAACGTTATACTTAAAATATGTATACATTTTTTTTGGCACCACCATATTTGATAAAAGTCATCTAGAATATATAAAGGACTCCAACTCAATAACAGAACAACCCAATTGAATATATAAAGGACTCCTACTCAATAACAGAACAACCCAATTGAAAAATAAGCAAAAACCTCAAACAGACGTTTCTCCAAAGAAGTTATCAGATGGTCAATAAACACATGAAGAGGTGCTCAGCATCACTGATGATTAGGGAAATCCAAATCAAAACCATAGTGCACTGCCACCCCACGCCCATTAGGATGCCTTAAAAAAATGTAGAAAATAATAAGTGTTGACAAAGATGTAAAGAAAATGAAACACTTGTATACTGTTGATGGTAACATAAAATGGTGCAGCTGCTGTGGAAAACAGTAAGGCGGTTCTTCCAGAAATTAAAAAGAATTGCCACATGATCCAGCAATTTCACTTCTAGATATATACCCAAAAGAATTGAAAGCAGGGCTAAAGAGATACTTGTCCACCCAAGTTCATAACAGCATTACTCACAATAGCCAACTGTCCATCGATAGCTGAATGGATAAAATGTGGTATATCTGCACAATGGAATATTATTCAGCCTTTAAAAGGAAAAAAATTTTTACACATGCACAACATGGATGAACCTTAAGTACATTATGCTAAGTGAAATAAGCCAGTCACAAAAGGAAAGATACTGTGTGATTCTACTTACATGTGGAATCATCGTGACAGAAAGTAGATGAGTGGTTTCCAGGAGCTAGAAAGAAGAGATAATGGAGAATGACTGCTAGTGAGTACAGGGTTTCTTTTAAGTTAATGAAAATGTTCTGAATTTAGTCAGTAATAACGGCTACACTACTTTGGATATACTAAAAATCATTGCATCATACATTTTTAAATGAGTGGACTTGACAGTATGTAAATTATGTCTTAGAAAAGCTGTTACCAAAAAGATCAAAAGTGGAAAAGGAAATAACTTTATTATTATGATTCAGATCTTTCCTCAAAACAGCTAAAATTATCTTTCCTGTCCCCAGGAGTACCAGGCTCACACTTTGGAAACATTGTTTCAGTTTAATTATAAATACAAATAAAAGCCGGGCTCGGTGGCTCAGCCTGCAATCCCAGCGCTTTGGGAGGCTGAGATGAGTGGATGGCCTGAGCCCGCGGGTTCGAGACCCACCTGGGCAACTTGGCGAGACCTCATCTCTACAATAAGTCAAAAATCAGCCGGGCATGGTAGCGCGCGCCTGTAGTTCCAGCTACTTGGAAGGCTGAGGCGGAAGGATTGCCGGAGCCCAGCAGGTCGAGGCTGCAGTGGCTGGGAGCGGCCACTGCACTCCAGTCTGGGTGACAGAGTGAGACTCCAACTTAAAAAATACAAATAAAAGCCGGGCTCGGTGGCTCAGCCTGCAATCCCAGCGCTTTGGGAGGCTGAGATGAGTGGATGGCCTGAGCCCGCGGGTTCGAGACCCACCTGGGCAACTTGGCGAGACCTCATCTCTACAATAAGTCAAAAATCAGCCGGGCATGGTAGCGCGCGCCTGTAGTTCCAGCTACTTGGAAGGCTGAGGCGGAAGGATTGCCGGAGCCCAGCAGGTCGAGGCTGCAGTGGCTGGGAGCGGCCACTGCACTCCAGTCTGGGTGACAGAGTGAGACTCCAACTTAAAAAATACAAATAAAAGCCGGGCTCGGTGGCTCAGCCTGCAATCCCAGCGCTTTGGGAGGCTGAGATGAGTGGATGGCCTGAGCCCGCGGGTTCGAGACCCACCTGGGCAACTTGGCGAGACCTCATCTCTACAATAAGTCAAAAATCAGCCGGGCATGGTAGCGCGCGCCTGTAGTTCCAGCTACTTGGAAGGCTGAGGCGGAAGGATTGCCGGAGCCCAGCAGGTCGAGGCTGCAGTGGCTGGGAGCGGCCACTGCACTCCAGTCTGGGTGACAGAGTGAGACTCCAACTTAAAAAATACAAATAAAAGCCGGGCTCGGTGGCTCAGCCTGCAATCCCAGCGCTTTGGGAGGCTGAGATGAGTGGATGGCCTGAGCCCGCGGGTTCGAGACCCACCTGGGCAACTTGGCGAGACCTCATCTCTACAATAAGTCAAAAATCAGCCGGGCATGGTAGCGCGCGCCTGTAGTTCCAGCTACTTGGAAGGCTGAGGCGGAAGGATTGCCGGAGCCCAGCAGGTCGAGGCTGCAGTGGCTGGGAGCGGCCACTGCACTCCAGTCTGGGTGACAGAGTGAGACTCCAACTTAAAAAATACAAATAAAAGCCGGGCTCGGTGGCTCAGCCTGCAATCCCAGCGCTTTGGGAGGCTGAGATGAGTGGATGGCCTGAGCCCGCGGGTTCGAGACCCACCTGGGCAACTTGGCGAGACCTCATCTCTACAATAAGTCAAAAATCAGCCGGGCATGGTAGCGCGCGCCTGTAGTTCCAGCTACTTGGAAGGCTGAGGCGGAAGGATTGCCGGAGCCCAGCAGGTCGAGGCTGCAGTGGCTGGGAGCGGCCACTGCACTCCAGTCTGGGTGACAGAGTGAGACTCCAACTCAAATAAATACATACATACATACAAATAAAACCACTGTGTCGTCCTCCTGGACAACGTTTTCCTAAGACTAGGTAATCCCACAGTTGTTGCTCATCTTTGAGCCTTTTGGGATCATAAAAGGGGAAACCACCTGATATACTTAGGTCTCAGGCAAGGACCTATGTGGGTGTTTCTGCCATACTTACCCATGAAAGATCTTGTCAATGCAAGATACATTAAAATAGCTAAGAGTGGTGATTTTTAAAATAGCTGTAATGTTTGATTGCTGCATAATTGTTTGAAGAGATAAGGAAATGCCCTTTCAGTTTGCTACCAGTGTTAGCTAAGAGACTCATTCCAGACTATTCCACCCAACCTTAACTCTTTCTGTGGAAATAGGGTGGAGCACAGAGGAGAGATAGTAGTGGCTGCTTCTCAGCAGTTCTTGCAAATGGGTTTATGATCATCTTTCTTGACTGAGAAGAGGCGCAATTTCTTGAAGAGTAGGCATGCCCCCCTGAGAGAAAATTAAAACTGCATCTCTACATGGTCCCTAATTTTAATAAATGTCATACTTGTATTTAATATTTCAATTGTATCAGGAAAAAATATGAACAATTAGAACTGGAACTAAAATATGGTGTGCTTGACAGTTTTCTTTTGTCTTGGTGCTTGTGTTGCTTTCTATATAAAGCTCCTGTTGGAACACCAGGATGCGATCGCCCCTGAGAAAAATGACTTACTGAGTGAGTTGCTGGGGTTGCTAGGAGAGGTACCTACCGTGGAATCTTTTCTTGGTAAGAGTTTGTTCCTTCTACTTATCCCTTCATTTCTTTTTGTTTGTTTGTTTGTTTTGAGTTGGAGTCTCACTCTGTCGCCCAGACTGGAGTACAGTGGCTGCTCCCAGCCACTGCAGCCTTGACCTGCTGGGCTCTGGCGATCCTTCTACCTCAGCCTTCCGAGTAGCCGGAATTACAGGCATGCGCTACCATGCCTGGCTGATTTTTTGATTTATTATAGAGATGCGGTCTTGCCAAGTTGCCCAGGCGGGTCTTGAACCCGCGGGCTCAGGCAATCCACTCACCTCAGCCTCCCAAAACACGGGATTACAGGCTGAGCCCCCGAGCCCAGCTCCCTTCATTTCTGTTGAGTTGTTTTGGTTGGTGGTTTGCCTCTCCTGTCCTAGATACAGTAAGTTTTTGGAACTTAATGCTTACGTTATTTAAAGGTTAATAACTATACTTGCCCTTTCCTGCAGTAGGAGCTCTGTAATTGATAGTGTCCTAGATTGTAAAACAGCATGGTACTCTTGAAAGCAAACTCCAGTTACACCAAAAGGGGCATGTCAACTTGCGTCATAAAGAAAACATCATGAAAGAACCAAATGTTAAATCGGAAAATGAGAAATTCCCTACTCTGTTTTCTAAGGATTTCTTGTATAAAGTTCTCTATTTTAGTAATTCATTCATATTTGGAATATCTATATCCCAGGTCATTTCAGTGTTTCAGTCAAATATTTTAAAAGCCACTTGAGCTGTAGCAGAATGTGAGTACTGTGAAGACCGGAATCTCTCATCCGACTACTGAGCCTCACCTTCCCCAGAACCTTTGCCTTACGTAGTTGATGCCGTCATTAAATGAGTGGACTAAAAGAATCGTACTATTCTGTTTTGTTTTTTCTACAGGGGAAGGAGCAGTTGACCCCAATGACCCTAACAAGGCAGATACACTAAACCAGCTCTCAAAGACTGAGATTTCTCTTTTTTTGACCAGCAAATATGACATAGAGGATGGTGAAGCTATAGATGGACGAAGCCTCATGATCAAGTAGGTTTGGGGTTTAAAGGGCACATGTCTGCAAATACATGCATTAAGCCGTGCAAATTCAAATAAATAAGCCCCACATAATTTACTTAAAATCTGTGAATATTGAAATCTATTATGTTATCCATCAAACATCTAACCAGAGGATATAGGCTCTTTATACTTTAGGAAGGGGCTAAATATTATAATAGCTTACAAAGCCTGCCTTGGTTTGTAGTTTTCCATGTAGTAATTTGATTCCTTTCCTTTAGGAAATGATCAGCTTATGAAAAGTCTTAGGTAACTGAAAGGAAATCTCTATTACAGAGTGGTCAAAAGATTAGTGAGGAAATTCATTTAACCAAACTTAATTTCTGATATAAAATGATAATGTAAAAAGGCACACTTGTGGTAAGACACTATGATAGCATCTGGTTTATTGGCCTTCTTTTTTGTTAAACTAATCCTGGGTATGTTTACCAGCTTTGACTTTATCTATGTCCTACTTCCTGCCCTCAGTGATTTCAAGTGAGCCATTTACACTTTAAATAATGCTGTATTTTTTCCATCAAGACCTCGTGCATATTCCATGTCAATCCTTTACACACAGAGTAAGAAAGAGAATGAGATACAGGATACAATGCCATAAATCAAAAGCACATGTTCAGCGAACAGTACAGTTTTCATGAACTTATATAAACAAAAGAGTGCACGTCAGCACATGAGAACAGTTGTATATGGGAGTGAGGCAGAGACTGGAAGTGGTAAAGGGAGCAAAAATGCGTTGAAGCAACACTTCACACATAACTTCCTGGCTATGTGTCCTGCGTTCTGAGGTTGTTTCTGTCTGTAGTAAGAGCTTTCTGTCCTGCCAGTGACATGCTGAAGTGTGAACAAAGACGGCATTCATTTCCACTTGATTTTTGACTGATATTCAGTCACCTATGAAAACAGCAAAAAGTGTTTCCTCAATGTGCTGTGTTGTGATACATGCTTCTTCTGTTAGGCTTATTTTGTCCTCATATCATATGTAAGGCTTCATTCATTCATGTGGCAGATGTTTGAGTTCCTCCTGAGTGTTCACACACTGGATGTGTGGCGGGAGATACCCCGATAAGCAACCCAGTACCAGCCTCTACCTTCTCGGGTGGAGAGCTGAGCTGCAGGACTGGGACACATCCCTGGGCTCACAAGAGTTGAAGGCAGTTCTTTTTGACTACGCATTACCAAGTCAGGCTGACCTTTTAGGAAGACAGTTCAGGGCAAGGCAATTGAGAAAAGGAGGGAGCCTTCACTGCCTGGGTTCCTCTGAGCAAGCGCCAGTTATAAAGGTCACTAGAACTTCAGATTGAGTGGTGCCACCATGAAATTACCTTATCAACTTTGGCCTTAGAAATAATAGGAAGAGATTTTTTTCTTAATTAGTTTTATCTGTTATTTGAACACCGTTTTCTAAATACAGTCAGCTCAAATGCCTGCATTAATGAATGGGAGTCACAATCTGGGTAGTCCAAAATATTAAATAATCAGAATATCATATATATTTGTGTTTATTTCTGAACATAGGTCTCCATGATTCTTCAAATTCTTGGAATTCATTTTTTTTTTTTTTTAATTTTTTTTTGAGTTGCAGTCTCACTCTG